TCACGTAGCACCGTGATTAATTTGTTTGTTTTCTTACTCAAATTTTAATGAGAATTATGAGGTCGTGATATTGTCAGGAACCTCTGTGAAGTAAATCGAAGTGAGGGTAACGCAAACGGTGACATTCGCTTCTCTACTGCATGGTCAATCTGTTGTTTTCAAGCAAAAATACCTGGTCAAACTTTTACCGTTTTCGAATCGTCCATGAAATTAACACTGATTGTACTCATTGATTTTCTGCTACATATGCAGTAAATTTACGATTGAGGCCAAAGGGGAAATATTCTGGGAGTTCTTGCCTTAATTTAGTCAATTTTTCCTTTATCCGCACTGAATTAGGCCTATTTAGACTTTAGGTACAGCAAAATTTGGACAAAATGTTTTAAAAGAACTTACTTTAGTTGTTGTAGGAAATGTTTGTGCCTTATTCTAGGGCGGTTAAAGAGAACCATGGTGGCAATGGAGAACTTTGTCACAAAATTCCTTGTATACATGCCAAAACCACACCCGTCAGTGTTGATGCAACTAGCTCCATGAGTGGGTTATGAACTGAGAAGTAGTGAGAACTGTACGTTGATTATCGTATTTTTGTGGCTGACAGGTTGTGTGGAATTGGAAAACTTCGCGCTCGAGTCGAAACCAAACAGTGTTCGTTAATCGGCAAAATAATCTTTTAGCACTTTTCGATTGTTAAATTTCTTTAGTAAAGAAACAGTGTGGTTTTACTCTCAAAAACACTCAATATAATGCGTTTGAAGTCTTCAAAGCACTTAATATATCACTTAAAATGAATTTCACGGAGAACAAAGTGGGTAAAAGTCTGATTTAGCAATGTCAAGAAATCCAGCAGAACCTGAAGGTACAGCCTTGCCGTAGCATAGAAATGCGCCCGTGGGATTTAACAAGTCTGGATGGTTATCCTGTGTTTCAACCCCCATATCTGGTATTGCTTGTCTAGATAAGAGAGGTGCCCAAAATTATATTCCCCTGCGACCACCCACACAGACGCATGACTACCATTTTATTCACCCGAGGCTACTTAGAAGTCACTGTAAATTTTGCCATTCGACTACTTGCTTTTAGTTTATTTTTATGCTGTTTTGGGCCTACTAGTTTCCACACAATTTGTTCCGTTATGCAAGACGCATGTAACCCCTATTTCAGGTTGCATCAAATAGGGAAGAGTAGTTGATTCCAGTCGTCACGTCATTGCTAACTTGCGAATTATCCTTGACTAACTGATAAATAGGATCGCAACTAATGCCCGATCGAGTGCGTTGTTTAGATTGACGTTACGTTTTATTACTCAGACTAAATCTCGAGCAAGTGTCCGATGAGCAGGCGCAAAAACCAATTGAACGTCGTGAATTTAAGTTGCACCTAATATAGTTGGCATTTTTTTAGGTCCACATAACGTAACTTGGCAAAAATGCAACGTTGCATTTGCCATATAAACCGGATTCCTAAAAACATAAGTTAATTTAAACAAGCGAATTACTTACTTGGCATTTAGTAACGTGAGTTTGAAAGAAGCATCACTTCATTTTAAAGTGCATGCTTCTGCGGGCCTTGAGAACTAAGCTCGAACATTTGGCTAAGCGATGCTTATGGATGATCAAAAGGATTGCGTTAATGAAAAGGCTCTTGAAAAAGGTCAATTGCATTGTTTTATTACATATTTCGCTTCGAGATGGTGCCAAAATAAACCACTGTTCAAAAAACTGGATTCTTCAGGCTACGTATAATGAAATTATAACCAAAATGGATGATTTCTTCACCACATTTCCAAAGAAAACACCCAGATTTCCTGACAATATCACGACCTCATAATTCTCATTAAAATTTGAGTAAGAAAACAAACAAATTAATCACGGTGCTACGTGACGATTACATAAGGCTGTAAATGATGAACACTTTCGAAGTCAAACTAGGCCCATGTGTATTTCGAAATACCGGTTATCTGCTTTATAGGCGGAGATCGCTTCTTTGCTCATGACCTTGGCCAACGAACCAATGACATTTGCACTCAGCTATTCATGCTCATGATCTATAAATACACGCGCATTACTACGTACCACGACTCTAGCTTAGTTGGCACAATGAACGCTCAGAACTCAATTGTCTTATGACCCTCAAATCCGCCTACCGATATTTTGGGTTACATTGCGTCATAAACAGAGACACTGGCACGTTGGTTTCACTCCATACTAAGCAAGTGTCGTGAATGCTCAAACACTCCGACAAAGTGATCTAGCCAGTTCTACAGGTTCGCGTTGACACATTCGCGGCAGACTTGCCATGCTAGCGTTCCACGATGACCTTTCAATGAAACACAGGAAGAAAGGCAGGCTTCGCCCCACGACATCTGCCAAAGACCTCATAGCTTGTACTTGGCATCGCGAAACCACGACGAGTGTTAAAGCGACTGCCGAGACGAGTTAACTAGATCACATGTTGATTTCACAAGTCGCGGTGTCGACAAATCGGAAAACTGGATGTCTGGGTATCAGCACTTGACAACAAACACGAAAGTGTGTGTGTGTGTGTGCGTGTCTAGCCTATTAGCAGAGGCGCGTCTTATGAAGCGTCGCGTTGCCGTCCCCACGGCTGTCACAGTCTTCACTGACTCAGTCAACATCGAGTGCTGTGCACTTTTGCTTGAGAGCCTGGGAAACAAAGTCTGGTGAAGTCACAGTGTGGAGGCATTGCATAGGTGCCCTGTTTGAAGGAGCTAAGCGTCGCGTGTTGTGCAAATCGCCTGCGTTTGTATTTTGGAGTCAACACACATCCGACGAAGTGGGTCACTTTCTCTACTTCAAAAACCTGCCCCGCGTCATCTGGGGAACTTGATGCGCCAATGGTATCTGTGTCACGTGACATGGCACGGTCACTGCTCGACTGGTACTCTCTCATTGCAAACTAGCAACCAGGTCCACATGTCGCACCGATTCAAATTGCTGGTGTCGGGTGAAGCAGGGCGATGCGGGTGGGAGTATCAGAGGTAGCGGAATTTAAGGGGGTTGACGGGGATTTGAGTGGCAGTTGGGCTTGAGCAGGCCTGCTGCTTGGCTGTTTGGTTGGTTGGCAGATCAGGCGCACAGTTGGGTGATGTGATCGAGGCGGTGGCAATTGGCACTGGTGTGGAATCCGTGGTGCGCTTTAGCTCCTTCCTCTTCTTCTTCAATGAGCCTATTTACAGAACACGTGAAAGGGTGCAATGAAAGTCGGGGGCATTTGGCAATTCGGTTCTGTGCATCTGAAAATTCCTCTTTTAACAGGAAACAGCTGCGATAAATATTGGAATCGCCTGCACTGTGAGCGAACACACAACACGAAACCCGAAGTTAATTCATGTGCAATTGGAAATCGAAGCACATTGAACATGCGATTGGCATGTACTTGACGCGTGTAGTTATTATCGAGGCAGGGGAGATGGAATGCGTGTGTTCTACAGGCGATCACGCGCGCAAGGCATATCGTTCGTGTCATTAGTTGGGCATTGACACATTGTGTAGTGAGTCCATGTGGCGCCCAACATCTGCAATGCAATTCGACGTCTGAAATGTGTGTCGACATTGGAGCCCGCACCGACAGTGGGATAAGATGCGAACACTGGCAGTCTCGCTTGTCCATCTGGTAATGCTGTGACATGGAAAAGTGTTCTAGTTGCGCCTATTCACATGATGTGCTAGAGTGGCAGGACATGCCAAAACACAGGAAGTTGTTGGTGAAGATTAGTTGGAAAGTGAATGAGCAATTTCACAGTTGAGATGGGTGCAAGGAGTGTGGGATTGAGAGCAGTGTAAGGCAGTATTCAAACTGCTAGAAATGCATTCAGATGGTAGAGAAATCCAGAGTGGTGTTGGATTTTAACGATTGGTTAAAGGCGGAGACAACGTGCGACAACGTGGTCAATATGCTGTGGCCGGGTGATTTAGTGCTGCCTTACAACCCTTTAGTTAACAGCTCGTTACAACCCGAGGATCGGGGAAAAGGAGGCGACAGAGAACACGACCGTTTATTAGTGTCAGACCGGCCAAGTGACTCCGTTTGCGTGTGAGTACGCGTGCGTAACAGTCGACTGCTGACAGAGGCCAATAACAAAAGGGTGAGTCATTGGTCCACTCGGCGGGCACTCATGCACCCATCATTCACACGAGGTGGCTATCAGTCCACTACAAATATGTGTCTGTAACCATTTGTAAGATGTGCTTATCCTGCCGACATGATCAGAGCGCAATCGAAACACCAATGCAAATCATGTTCTTGAATATTTTTGCAAGGCGACAATATCTTATTGAATGACATTGAATCAGAAGAGGAGGTGTTGTGGGTGGAGGTGAATGTAGTGGAGGGGCGAGGAATGCCTGGTCGAATTGTCACGACGCGCTCAATGCAATTGAACCTAAGTTGGATGCGAAGGCCACACGAGGCGATTCGACGTCGAATGAGACGGTGGAAGAACGGAGCTAATGAATCGACCAGGTTTATCCTAACGGTCAATAACTGGCGCACAATAAGTTTTTGATTTATGGGTGAATTCACGTGAACCTGCATTAGACCAACGCTGAATGCGCTCCATTTCTCGTGGAGTTATGCTTCAAATGAATGCTAATCTCTTTACGCTAAGCTTCATTGATTCGCACTGAGTTGATGTGAAAAGCACATGAAAGACGCACACGGAGGCACACACCTTTCCAGCTGACGAGTATTGCGCCATTCGCTTCACCCAGTGTCTTACGGGTGCACTTTGCGCATCCGAATTTCTCGCCAGCATTTCAACTCGGTTGAGTTGCTTGCCTCGTGTCATCCACAGCAGCTACAATGTGTGGTAGATGTTGTCAGTGGCAGCAGAATGGAAGTGCAGAAGACAGTGTAGAAGTGTTACCACGCGGTGAGTGAGGAATAGGGTGTGTGCAGTGTGTGGGTGCGTGTAGTTGATTGCGTCGAATGTCGCTGGAACTGAATGCAGCAGATGTGTGTGGACGTTGGCGAGGCCACCGCGTTTCTGTGTGTGCGTGTGTGTGTGTGTGTTATCGGCGCAGGCGTTGTGATTGAATCAGCTGTGGTTCCAGGTTGGTTGCGGTGTTGCGGTGTTGTGATGGAATGGAGATTGCTGTATGTGACGAGTATTGTCAGTCGGAGTGTCAATAAAATCGAAGCTGTAAATTGGACCAAACCTTTGAAATGAATCGACATCTCTACGTGAGTGATTATGTTAATTTGCTGATGATGTTAGCCATGTTAAGCGAACACATGCATTGCCTCATTGAATTTAACAGCACGTTTTGAAACAGAAATTAGTAATTTAGCCCAATGAAAGCCCCCGTGGTTGTCGTGACTTGCTCGCGGAATGCATGTTAGCAGGAGCCTATCCAACCAGATTTATCTGGATGTGATTTTCACTTGTGACGTCCCTCTGTTTGCTCATTGGTTCCCACAAACCCAGGTCATGTTCACTGTTCACCAGATTTTGGGTGAGCACGCCAACACACACATCCATAAGACTAGAATCGCATGCCTCGTGAGCAGGCGCTGTTGTCTGCAGGTAAACGCCGCCTCGTGAAATTGGTGGCACCACAACTGCGGAGTCCACCGTACCGAGTTGTGGGCTGTGACAACTGAAAAAAATGTGGTCACCTGACGCGTAATTCATTGCTCATTCTTTTGCCTAGTTGCAAATATTTCACGTCATGATGGGGCAGTCTGGACTGCCCACTTGGAGGAATCTAATGTTGACTTTGAGTGTAAAAGTGGCAAATGGAGTTGTTGTCGCAGAGCGATTAACGTGTGTATTGTTGGATGCTTAGTAGTCAGACTTGTCTGCCGAGTTGGGATGTGGAAATGACCTCATTACTCGAAACACGGCCGCTTGTTATCTACCCGTTGACGATGAGCTTCCTTGATATGTCTCCACACGGTATGATTTCAACGCTGCAATTTGATTGCATTATTTCAATATTTTCTGGCTTACGGCTAATGTCGTTACAACGTAGAACAGTTCTGTACTGAATTCTTAAGTGCAAATCTTTGAGCGCAGTTACTTTCGTTCACGGGCCAGATAGCTGAATGATTAGCATGCCTTTGTAATTCTTAATACAAAACGCAGCAGGATAGATTCAGGACTATAGGTTATTTGACGTTTGCGTCAGTGTAGTTGTGTATTAGAAGTAAAGCGATTTTCCAAGATGCTTCAGACGAAGTGCTAACGGTATTTTAAAAGATGGGAAGCCGACAGACATCTCAGAAGTCAAAATGCAGAAGGTGTGCTTTATTTCACTAGATCTTGTATCTTCTCACATCCAGTTTACGCACTTCGGTGCTATTCCAAGTTTAAAGAAACTGTGACTTTGGCTTGCTTATTTCAATTCTCTGCGCATCCGTGATAGATTATTAATGAATTCGAGAAGTTTTTTTCTAGAACGCTTCTTATTTTTGTTTCTTTGTCCTGAAGTAATACGCATCACCTGTAAACGATGATTTGGTTTTTTTTATATTCTAGGACTTTGTGTTAGTTCAATCGTCCTCGCAGTTTCATTCCATTGCCTGATTAGATTGTTTGCATTTTGGGCAGTTCTCGGTGTCAAGTATATTCACGTTTCCTGTAGTCGAAGTTGTGGATTAGATGCGTCTTCGTAGCTGCCAACATCTGAGACCGCTGCACAAAGCCTAACACCTTAAGTGATCACATCAGCCTCCTTCATCAGTTTTGTCAGTCTTGAAATCTCTTTAATTAATCGATGCTTTTCTGGCTGTTTTCTTGATATCCACCATGGTGATACGCGTGTAGATTTTATCAGCACGTCAAAAGAGAATGGTGATATAGCAAGAAGTAGGTTGCCTTAGTCAAATCAGCTGTGCTGGTCTTGTGAAGGCATGTTCACACAATGAAGCGAAACCGTGTTGATGGATCAGTCGAAAGTGGCATCTTATTTGAATTAGACCGTGTTACTGTGTGTGGAATGCACTGCGCAAGTGTGAGTGAAAGCCCATCAACATTGGCAGCAGTTTTGTTGCGTGGTCAACGCGCAAATCAGACGAAATGTATCGAAACACTAATGCTTCGTTCAAAATTTTGGATGTGAGTCTGGAAATGACTGCTATCGTGTTGGCGATAACACGGAAGAAGACAGAAACTGACAATGGTACTTGGCATTTACCTCTAAATAATGAGGTCATGTCAACATCACGACAGTGCAACTAGTAACCGCGGAAAGGACAACCCATTCACTGATGCTCTGATTGGTCAAGATTCGTGACACTGAGGGAAAAAACCATGATTGAAGTTGGCAGAGGCAGTTTCGGTGGCTCCACGGGGACAACGCAAAATTGTCTTTGATGGTTTTTCCAGACACCGTCGAAGCGTGGAAGTAGAAGTGCATATTAGAGTTCTCAAACGGCATGAATTGTTGTTAAATCGGTTCCTCGTCAACTAAGCCAAAAGCTGTAACATGGGTCCCGGTTGAAGCGAAATGTGGAGGTTTTGAGAAAATGAAACACGGTTCGATTACTCGCGCTGTTGGAGGTCAGTCAGACGACAAACATCGATTAGCATCCACTCATAGCGAAGTGCTTATGGAAGAGCACCACTTCGAGTGTGCTTCAAATTGTAAAAATAAGTTCGCATCCAGATTTTATAAATCAGGTTTTTTGACAAAACGTGGCTAACAACACGAAGGTACCCAGCTGATCACGTCAATTGAAATCATTGTGTTTTGACTGAAAATCATCTTTGCTTAGTACCTCAAGGGCATTAAACATGTGACTTAGTTATGTTGAACTCCGAATCTTCCTTCAGGTCAAACTGTTCTTCTTCTTCTTGATATTATTTTGACGAATTATTGTAGGCAACTTTCTGGGATGTCGAGATCGTGTTTCGGGAGAGAAGACATCTAACATCTCTGTATTCACAAATATGGAATGCCCACGGTGGTAAAACGGAACTGATACATTCTGAAATGCATTTCAAATAAGTGGCAGTGATGTGGTGTTTTAACCAAATAGAAGTACAGCCTGTGTGTGATTCCGGGTGTGCGTTAAATAGTCTCCAATGCCATCACAGTGCAATCAGCAGCATTGTTTTTAAGCACGGAGAACGTGGAGTGTGCGAACCTGGTAGAAAAGTTTGATGACTTTTGAAGTTCAACCTCAGCGAAGACTTATGTGCTATTAAACTCACAATCTTTTTTCAAATCTCCTCATGTTTAAGTGCTTAAAGAATCAAAACCGTGTTTTAGGCCTCCATTTAGCAAAATTTTTCTTTAAGGTCAGCAAAACCGATGTACGATTACTGTCCTTTTTCAAGTACCACTCAGATCATGATCAGCGGCACTTCATTTTTACTTAACCTGCGTCATCACAGGTGTCAGCTGGGTGAACGGCAAAGTGGCCCTGAAAGTGACCAATTGTGGTGCGCTCTTAACCCGCTATATTTGGCCATCAATTAAGCAGCAATAACTGTCATCGGAGAGTACATAATTCACAGCCAATTAATTTGCACCTCCATTTATCGGCATGCACTAAAACACTAGTTTTGACGTTCCGTGATTTAAGCTTGTCATTTAAGATGCCATCCCCCACGCATAATGTGCGAAAAGGTGCGCACGCATCCACAATAATTGCACGCTGCCAGCACGTTTGGTTAGCCCTCCGCGTACTTTACTGCGCCAAAAGCATTTGGATGTTGACGTACAAAGGTAATTTGCTGCTCGTTAGTTCTTGTGCATGCCTCACCAATGGCATTTGAGTCCCTCTTGGATGTTGGCTAGCTCTACTTACTAAAACACGCGCCATGACACACAGGTAGTCCCAACAAATCGGATTAATCGGATTCTAGGTTACATTTAATCGGAGTTTGATAATGACGATGTTCCCACTGCGCACGCAATGCCAGACCCGAGTTGACACAGCATACTTCATCGAAAAATGACTTGAGTGATTTTCGGGCGTGCAGAGCACTTCTCCACAAAAAACAGGTGCTATTAACATCACGTGACTGATTTCAGGCGAAATTTTCACTTCCAGGATTTAAATCACCAGTAATGCGAATCGGCTTGATAATTCAGAAGAAAAAGGCTGATATTTAGGCACGCAGAATGACCTTCATCCCCCTTATGTGCGCATCTACCAACATATGCTTCAAGTGGAAGCGATGGCTGCAGTTGTGGTGGTGGTGGCATTGGCGCAAATTTCTGGATATCCACAAACCAGTCAACATAATACAAGATTTCAAGAAGTCATGTGATTAAGTCCGACAACCAGTCAGGTACACACAGGTTAGAGAATTACAGAAGTGGGAGGGAGGGAGGGAAGGGCGGTGAGGTGAGGGAGGGTGGTCAGACAAGGGAGGAAAAGTCATCGGTATCACAGCCTAATAAAACGAGAATGAGAAAGGCAGGCGCAAGACGGATGGCCGAGGGGCGCGCGCCAATTACGACTTGGAGGACGTCATGGGCTCGAGGAATTCGTTGAATATCGACACCTCCAGCACCTGCTTCAGCATTCCTGCGCTGGCGTCGTCGAGTCCTTCGTCGCAGGAGTCGCTCGTGCCCCGGTACTCCCCAAGGCTACAACATAAACCAGCCCATTAATGTCGAAGTTAAAAACTGCACCGTGGTGGCTAGAGAGGACACAACAAGCAGACAGCGCACCTCCGGAAAAAGAGCTCCAGCCGTCCGAATGTCGTCGCCCTCTTCGTGGCCAGAATGTAGAAGCAGGCAGTTGGCGGTGCTAACAGGTGAGCGGTGTATATTTGGTTTTCTCTCTGGTAGATCTGCGAAGCAGCAAAAGGAGAACAAGAAGATTGGGTAATGCATATCATCATCAAACGCTGATTGGTTGCCGGAGTGATTATCATGGGAAAGCTATGCAATCGGCAAACAAACGGTTCGCCTCCTACGTGCGTACTCACCGCAAATCCAACAATTTGCAGATTCAACTACAATATCAAATCTCAGACCCTGACAACGTGGGGGAACTCACAGAGATTAGGCCGGAGGTAATCTGCGAGAGGAGAGGCTGGTACACGTCACCGTTCGACTCCGAGCACTGTGTGATTCGCCGACCCACAAACACCCAGTGGTGGCTGGAAGGCAAAACAAGGGAAGCAAGATGTAAATTTGAGCGTCGTGTGCACAAGAGCTGCGTCAGTCATTTCAACAGAGACCAGAATGCTGCTCTGATTGGTTAAACCAACATGACAGCCAATCGAAAGTGCCCGGATATAGATAAATAGGTTTACTTGATTGGTTGTAAAAAGAAAATGGAAAATTAGGGAACTCATTTGTGCATTAAAACGGTGGGTTTTTGCGAAATGGACTCTTTATGGTTGAGAATTCATAGCGCTATGACACGACCCTTACAATAAAAGCAGAGTGGAAATAGAAGTACTATAATATGAGACTACTGCAAGGGCTCGGTCAAATCCTTGCAACAAAGGGTAAAACAAGAATTGTCGACGACGAACGATCAATGAAGGCAGATATGCATGATTGCCCGCTAATTATCTCAAATGTAGCAAAATATTTAGTGGAAAAAAGGTAACAATGGGGTGTCAAAATGTCAATTTTGAACAAAGGTACGCACACTGCGTAAATACGGTTAGGAGCTGGTAGGGGGAACGAGTGTTCGACCGACGAATCAAAATCGGGGTACCCAACCGATTTGGCTAAGAGATGCACCAGGTTCAAGCCGTCAAGGCAGCCATTGCGACAACGAGGGATGGCGCATTGTTTGCTCGCGAACAATGCACTCGGCTAGTTGCGAGGTTGTCCAGACACGTCAAGAATGGACAACGGACTCAGTCGCTGGTGGAGTTGATCTCACCAAGTCTTCACACAGCAGATTCGATCAACCACATTGGAATTCGCAAAAATGACCCAGATTAGAAAGTCAGGATTTCCGAAGGACAATTGTCGTGGACACATCACTTCCGCCAGCCCTTGCGTGTGCGGTAATCCTTCTTAATCCATCGGGTCAAGGTCGTTCACCGCGGCATGGAATTCCGCACGAGATCGTATCTTCATCCTGCCAGACAGGGGGCTTGCCTATTGGTACTCTGGGCGTGTGATTTTGATTACTGGCAAATCGTAGCATTCAACTTCCTCGAAAAAGGCCTCAGTGACCACCAACTTGAGTTGTTCTACGCGTGCAGATTGCTGGGGGCCAGCATTCTCCAACGCTCTTGGCCACAATTTGGATTTCGTCATTGGCTACGCAACAACCCTGATGACTCAACTCCACCGTCATCTATTGACAACCCTCACCTGCGCTAATCCATCTTGATCCATAACTCATTTGATCTGTGAGTCCCGACAAGTCGTTCAGCCCTTTGTGTGAGGCAGTAAAGACCTTTGTTCGAGGTCGTGTCTTTGTTCTGGACCAGGAAGGTGGAACTTGCGCGTTGGTTCTCTGTGTGCTGTTAGTTACTGGGACGTCGTGACAGACCCCAAGAGAATTATTCTTTAGTGAAGAGATCCATCTGAGTGCTCTGGAAGGGCATTTCCAGAGAGAGAGATAGAAAATTGCTTTCTACGTTACAGAACACGATGTTGGCATGACCTGATCACACTACTTTAGGGGAATGCAGACTGCTTGACAAATTTCATCGTGCAACTTGTAATTTACGAGGCTGGTTCACCTTGGAGTGGGCATGGAGGGTTATTCAACGTAATCAAAGTACACGAAGGAATGATTCATTGCTGGTGCAATAAGTTGGGACCTTCACTGCGTGCTGGTTTTATTCGACGCGGGCCGCTACCATCACAATTGCGTCTCCGAGGCACCGCGAAACAGCCAGTTCGGTGGTTCGTCACTGCCCTCTATCGCGTTCTCGACAAATGGAGGCCTTTTAAACATGGATTTCACCTCCCGTCCCCCCGTACTAGCTTGGTTATTTCTTGCACAGACACACACACACACTCTTACCGCTGACGATGTCTTCCCGCAATTGTTTTCTCACATCTGGGCGCGTGCTGAGGAAGTCGAATAAGTGTAGCGACCAGAAAGAATGAAATCGACAAACTTGCCAACCCAATAGCACAAGGCAAGGACCAGTGTGACGTAACGCCGTCTACGATTCACAAATGCCGATTCCGGCTAAAATGAAAGGTCATTTCCCAGCGACGTAGAAGTGTATTTCCTTGCGCAGTGCTGACCACAGCGCCGAAGAACGTAATTTGCACCAGGCGATGACAACAACGGACGTGGTAAAAGTGCACCTGCGTGGGCGCAATTAACGAGGACCGGAAACACGAGGTCGTGAGTCACAGGGACCAATCAACCAGCTCTCCGCAAAAGTCCATGTGAACTCGGTCTAGCGCCGCCGCCTACGCACTTGAAAACCCACAGACTTTTCCACTTCAACGTCACCATGTCTGCGAACGCCTACATCCCACTAAACAGCCCCGACATCCACTCAACAGAAGACCTGTTCCGATCTGTCCGAAAGACGCCACACAAAAACGATGGTATGCCAAGTCAAGCCTGCCAAGTCTTCGCTACACAGACCTCCTTTCCACGGCGGCGGCATCGGTCATGCTAAACCGTCTGCTCATATAGCCCTGTGCGTGTACCATCCCCACGCCACCAGCTTCATTCATCTGACAGTTCTGTCACTTGTACTTTTACAGATTCACTCAGACCGCAGTGATCGACAATCTTGTAGCGGATTAACAGCGATCGCGCCTGAATGAACCCTGGTTACCGACCTGACGGTGACAATGACTCATTCCCAGCTGCCTGTCATCCGTTCACTCATACGCACACACTTGGCTGACGTGACGGTTGTGTCCTCTGTCGCCTCTCTTCTCTCCATTTTCGGGTTGTTACGGACTAACTAGAGGATTGTATGGTAGTGCTTAGACCACAAGCCACTACAACCTCATTTAGTCAGACACGCTTTCGATGCGCAGTGGCGCGACTAGCATCTCGGTTGAGCTATCTAGCAAACGGTCTCGTCTCTGCTATCTCTGATCTACTCGTCTTCTCGGGTATTTGAGTAGTGTAGACAGGCCAATTTAACTCAGCGGCCGCAGTGTGGTACACGACTACGTGTCGGGGCCTACAACAGTTGGCGACATCTGCATTTTGTGAAAAAAAAGGCACACAACAGGATGGGTGACTTTTGTTCACGCCTGCTACCTTGTGTTATCTCTTAGCCATCATTTAAACTGCGGATCTTGACTGATTTTCGAACAAACTGCTGACTTGACGTAATGCCGTCGTTCATAATCCGCACCAAATAGACGTCACTTGTGGCTCCCGCAACGTGGTTTTAACGCGATACCCACTTTGCAGTACTTCCTTGGTAGGACCACAGTCCAGATGCAATTCCACCAACTACGGCTGGAGAAAGATTCTTGATCTCATCTCTAGTGAAGGAGACAAGTCAGCTTCCAGACTCACAGTAGCTAAGGCAACAACATTGCTTTAAGCACAATCTCCAAAATACAGCAAATGTTTAACATATTTTCTGGTTCACACAGACTGCGTTGGCTAACAAAGCCCATTATTCTGGGCAGTGGTGAGACAACCACAATTGGCTTGAGCTCCCTCTCTCTCCCTCCGCCGTCCCTGATCCACTGTTTGTCTTCTCGGGTGTGTGAGCGTCGTCGTCAACGCGCCAATTCAACACAGCGGCCCCACACAACCAACATTTTACCAGACAGCCGACACAAGGATCAACGGAGTGGAGCTTAGTAAACCCCGCAAAACCAGCCCCGACGCTTTATGCAAAGAGAAACGACTCACAAGAGTAGTTGCGGAATCTCCGATTCAGGCAGGAGCAGGATTGTCGCGAGGACTTTGCACGCCGACAGAAGCAGCGTCAGTTGGGTCTGGGGCAGGCTGTGGAGGCCCTCGAAGTTCAACCGTGGGTGCTTCTTGGAGCTAAAAGGAGCCGTAAATGACCGCCACTGCACATTCTACTGCAGTTCAACACTAGTTACTGGATAATTTACGCTAGAGTCGCTAAATAACTGCAGAGTGATTCAGCTGTGAAGGGGTCGTTGTGGAAGAGGACGATTTGGATGAGGCATTAAAAGAACTTCCGCAGATGCTAGTGTAGACGGCATGAGGAGCTATTTTGAATCAATGGAGCTATTTAAACTTACGAGGATATGAATGACAAATGCGTTCCACAATTCCTACGAGCCCATAGCGTTACGGCTTACTTAAAAACTTGTGTCAAAACTACGCCCATTTCCATTGGACTCATTGGGAAGGGAATGGCGCAAAAACGATCCTTTACGCAACGTCAAGGCAGCAAACGCCCGAAAATAGATGGCTGAATCAGTGGGTGTCAGAAACGGGCACATTCATTACTCAAACACGACCAAACGTGACTCATTCTGGTCAAATTACTGAAGTTGTCGACGACCCAACCACAGCCACTAGCATTTAGTGCGATCGATTCCATTTAACAATTTGAATTCACCCTGTCATGGACTCGTTAGACAGCTCGCTCCGCAGGAGTCACAAAAACGAACTCACTACGCGCACAACGAATCAACACACCTTCTCATGAAACCAATTACCTCTGACTGATGAAAAGTGGATCATCAACAAGAACACCTGCTGATAACTACCACAACCCCAGTGTGATGTACTAGCAAGTCAAAATTCGAAATATGGCTGGCGCTAGGAGTGCTTCATGCCAAAAAACCGACAGCATTCCAATGGTGTTTTGCTTTCTGAGTTGGAAACAAGGAACCAAACTATCAATCAAAGTGACTGCTGTCAGCGACCACTTAAAGCACACCAGGAAGCAGTTGGGCTGCACCAGGGCAAACAAAGGGCCTCACACATACACACATGACCAACGTCGCGCCGTGGTCGAACTACTGACGTTGGAGACGGCCGAATCAAAGTCATAACTGAACAGGATTTCGGTCATCACTGTCCCAAGAGTTCCCAAGATTCTCCTTGTTGAACTACATACATACATCCTTCTGAAATGCGACATTTGGATTCAGTAATGATTGGAAAGACATTTACATTACACAACCAACCAATATTCGCAAAATGCATTTTCAGAGGTAGCAAAACGGTCCACTTGCTGGTACAACTCATTGAATAACATCAATCGAAGACTACCACGGCCCACGGCTGATAAAGCAGTACGAACCTCAAGGGAAATCCGGAATGTACCGAAAAAGATTATGCTGCCAACTTGATGGAAATCGAATGTTTACTGTCCACAACCAATCAAAATGACTTGGGCGGCAATAAACGAAACACAGCGAATCGCATGGCGATCGTGTGCCAATAAGGCAAATGAGGGACCTCACACACACACACACGGCAACTCGCGGATAATCCTAGGGATCTGTTACGTTTGCGGGGAACAAAGAGAGAAAACCACGCAAATAAGGGTAGCACATCCCTTGTTGACGCTAGCACCGACCTTCCCACGCTAACACAAGAGCTTTAATCCCGTCAGCCACGTGCGCAGTGAGTTGGCAAAAGTGAAACGAATTCTAGTCAAGGTTGACCTTGACCTGACAAAACGCATTTCCTACGTAGGCGCTAAACCTGACCAAATCCGTACACAATTTTGTCCTTATGTAGGGGAATATGAATCCTGGACAACAAACTGTCGGGGATTCCCCAAGATGGCTCATCGCTGGTTTTTTGTCATTATTTACACTAATGCCGTAACATATGTGTTAATCCGCTTTCATGAATCAGGTCAAGGTAACCATTGACTTAAATAAGTGTTTACTTCCTGACAGCTCACTCGCATTTTGACTAGGACTAGTAAAGCTGTCTTGCATTAGGGTGGAAAAGTGTTACGTCTGCCCGTAACAAAAGAAAACACCTACACAGATAACGGTACCAGATCCCTTGTTGACGCTAACACAAGAACAAGACCTGAGCTCGTGTAGAGAGCTTTGCTCACGTCAGCTACGTGCGAGTGAGCTTTCAAAAGTGAAACTAATTCAAGTCAGGCTTGACCTTAACCTGACAAAAAGCGCAATAAAACAAATGTTAGGGAATTAGCGTAAATAATGACAAAAATCGGCAATGAGCAATCATGGGGTATCGTGGATCCCCAACAGGTTCTGCTTGGGAACTAATGTTGCCAGCCAGACCTTGCACCAACCAATCAGAACTCTTTCAATGGTAAAACTTTCCATCGGTGAGCTAGGAGTCATGAGGAATGGCAAAATGTAATCGGGCAAAAATCGAACATGGGCAAGTAAAGTCCATGATTGACAATCGATTAGAGGTCTAGAAACGCGCGCGGTCAAAATCGTGAAGTCGCCGGACAGATGGCAAGAGACCGTCGGAAGCGGTCAACGCCCGAAGCGAAACGGCGTAAATCAAGCAAAAGCAAAACAGCCTACCTGCCATTGCATCGGTCTGCGAACGCCTTAAATACCCGCGCCTACAATAGAGACAAAAAAAGAACAAAGCAGTTGCTAAAGAGAGCGGTGGGTGGAGGAGGAGAAGGAGGAGGAGGGTTGAGGGATTATTCTTACGAGTTCGGGCAGCACAATGTGCCAAAGCGACGCTAGCGAGGGTGGGGATATGCGCGCGATCAGCACCCGCGTGCACAGGAAGAGTTGGGTTAGGATGGGCACGTTCACATCCGTCGTGGACCGCAAATTATCCGTCAGTCGCTCTGGAAGGCAAATGCGAAATAGAATCTGGCTTGGCTGACGCTATTCACACGTGAGGAAGCAATTTAGTACCGAGGATTTCCGACACGGAGCGCAGGTACTGGTCTTTTTCACTGGCAAAGACGATGAAGTTGATCTTCTTCATGTGCGCCGCCCGCTGCTCGTATTCGGCCTCCTTGCTTGAGAACAAATTCAGCCCAGTCCCCTGAGACACCGTCAATCGGGCTACGAAAATCGAGCGGTTGTGAAATGTGCTACGGAAATGCATTAAGTAGTTAATGTTTTACACACTAAGTGCTTCCTTAAAGGTGTTCTTGTCCTGGGTCATCAAATTATCCACCAGAGTGCACCAGCTGTAGAGGGCGGAAGGCGTGATCTGGAAGAAGTTGGGGTCGACGAAGAGTTCGAAGACATCGCGGCGCCAGGCCCGACGCGTAAACTGGTAGGAGCTTAATTTGGCCAACACCTGACTCGCCGCAGTGAAGTGGCTCGAATTGGAAATCCTGCATGGAAATGGGAAAAAATGGGCTTCGACGAAGGGAACTTGTAAAATTAAAGGTTATTGGACAGGGTTAAATTGGCCAATAAAATTGCGCGATTCAATGATTGGCTCGACAACACTCCTACGAGATCTGAGGAAGATGTGAGTCTCAATAGGCTTACAATTAATTCATTTGAATAAACAATATCGGCAAAAATATAGATTGGCCATACAATATAAATTTGACCAATTAGGATCGCTGCCAGATTCAGTAGCCAATAGAATCGAGTGGCTCAATGATTGGTCAGAGAACGTACGTTCGGGATTTGAGGAAAGGCAGGATGTTGGAGAGAATGCCGTTGTTGAGGACAGACGGCACACGGTCCTTCTCATCGCTCCTGTAGACGACATCGAGGAACAAGGCCATGTGCTAGGGGACACCGAATGCAAAAAAGGTTGTGAATTGTGGGCAACACGTAAAAGCATTCCTACTACTGCTGCGTTATTAGTAGCATCGGTAATATTGCTAAGTCACTGGACAACTGGGGTGAGACCAATTACTGAAAGGAAATGTCACCAACCACACACACAGGAGAATGTACCTCAGCGAGTATCTTCAGAGCCAGAATTGTCAAGTCTTCCCTGAGGTGGACGTTAACCGACGACGTGTCTTTCTGATCTAAAAAGAGCAGCATGGAAGGATGTTCATGCAAATACACTTGGTTGAAACGATACCACTCTGGAAATGCACAGCAGATAAGACCATCCACCTCATTAAATCGTACAAACCTGCTCCCAGTAGGGCCGTATACAAGCGGAGTTAACACAGTTCACGCCATTGGTTAGTTCGGAGTTGGGTAACAGTGATTGGTCGAAGTAAACACAGGGCGCAGTAAATTGTAGCGGCCGAGTTTAGCACTACCACACAACCCTCTAGTTATCAGCCGGTCAATACGCGTGCGTAGCAGGCGACTGCTAACACCAACAAGAGCCAATAACAAAGGGAGTGAGTCATTGATACAGTCGGGCGAGCATACACGCAGCACTCACGCGCGCGGTGGCGGCCTGTCCACCACAGTGCATTCACGGTGAAAATCGGTTGAAATGTGTTCGTTCGCGCTTGCAAACTGCGTCCGCTCACGAATGCTAACTGTGCTCGCCTGCTGCTCGCCACACAATGAACTACCAGGGAGAACGGGCAAAAAGAGACGAACTAACCAGCAGTCGAGAGGATCTCCTGCGACCCGTGAATCGCGAGGGAGGTGGGCGGGGTGGCGCCGGACTTGACGTCCAGCAGCGCCGACTCCGAGGCCACGGTGGGCACGTGGTCGGGGAGGAGGGTGGCGCGGTGGGGCGCGGGCGCCTCGCCGTACGGCGGACCCGAGGGCGCCGGCACCGGCAACGCCGACGAGCGCACCTGCAGGCCGCGGCGGAACCACGTGGCGTGCTCCAGCGCGCTGCCCGCTATCGCTCCCGTCGCCTCCAAGAAACGCTGGCAAATATCCTATAGGTGGGCCGAAGGACACAATTGATTGGTTCAAAATCTGCAACCATCATCATCACCACAATTTCGATTGGACGCAGGATACATTTGATTGGTTCAAAATCTGCAACCATCATCATCACAATTTTGAGTGGACACAGGACTCAACTGATTGGTTCGGAATCTACCGTCACTATTATCAGCATCATCATCATCGCAATTTCGAGTGGGCACCAGACACAATTGATTGGTTCAAAATCTGCCATCATCATCATCATCATCAATACAATTTCGAGTGGGCACAGGACACAATAGATTGGACCAAAACCTGCCATCATTATCATCATCAGCACCATCACAATTTCGAGTGGGCACAGGAAACAATTAATTGGTTTAAAATCTGCCATCATCACCACAATTTCGGGTGGGAATTTCATGGTGGCGTGGACTAATGGCGATTTTAGGAAGCAGTATTTTGATCGAGATCTATCAACGAGGTAATGTGGCAACATAAAGCACGTCTGGTTATGTGATCTGTTAGGCTGCAATGTTTAAGGACCTAGTTCGATTGTTATCTTTACGATGCACTTAAGAACTAACCTGCAGATCCTTCTGGTCGCGCTTTTCGTCTCTGTTGGACAACGTGATGATTATTTCGTTGAAAATTCTAAATAAAGCACAAAACACCAGATGTGAACAATTGAGCAAAATGCCTTGAGTAAAATGGCAGGAAGAGAAAACAATTACTTTTAAAGCACACATCTACAAAGAGGTAATAAGGACTTCAGGTGAATGGTTGATTCCCAGACTTTGAGAATATCAAACAGCTGCTCATGTATTCAGGCAGTTTTTGCAAGGACAGATCAAGACAGAGGGGACGAAGATAATGCACCACTGGCTGGAATATCAGCATCGGTGCGTCCAATCACATCCATTTACCACAAGATCAATCAGCCAATCAGGAAATCGAGAATGCATGAAGACAGCCAATCAGAATGAGAATGCACGCCGAACCACGCGGGTGCTGATTAACAAGGGCGAATCTCAAAAGCATGATGAAGACAAACAAGCCTACTCACTTGACAAGCAAGAAGACGGAAAATGGTGAGGTTATGGGGGTGCCGACGGGCGATGTGATGGCGGCATTGGACGCCCCAACTGAGCCCACATCTCGCAGAAAGTCCTGGACGTTCGGCAACTGGAAGCAGACGCCAATGCCGCCGGTGGCGGTTATCCACGCGTAGAGGAAGTGCAGCAGCGACGACTGCAGCGTCTGAGGCGGCAACAGGGGCTGCAAGGGGCATTGAAATCAGCAACTAGCGAAACTCGTTTACAAGGGAAGAAATGCGAACACTGCAGGCGAACTCACATCCACCGATGTCGCCGCCGATGCAGTCGGTTCCGAGGCGAGATCTATGGCGAAGGCTGACGCCAGACTGGCAGGCGGGTACACGACCAGGTTCTTGATGGTGCGGATGGCAACGGAGGTTTTGAGCAGAACAGCCGGCTTCTCGGGGTTGGGAGGCGGCGACAGGGCAACGTACTGGGTGCCGTTTTCGCTTCGTTTCCACACGAAGACAAACGGCGAACGTAGACCACCAATCAGACTTACAAGGGCACATTGGATGGGCAGCAGAGGAAGGCCAATGGCCTGTTCACCTGTTTGGGTAGGAGAGTGCAAATAGGTAAGTGAAGTAACATACCACCGATAAGGTAAGTAGTAGTTAGAACTCACATGTGCACGAAGACAGGAGCCACATGAGGTCGACATTGTTACTCCCGACACCCAGAGCTGGCCAGACGTGGGCGACAGCAGCGAAGACAAGCGCCGGGTGAGTGGAGGCGATCGGTTCAAGGAGGTTATCGATCGCACGGCGCACCGATTCCTGATCGCCAAGCGCGGCCACCGCACCCAGTCGCTCAAAGTTGCAGCGCAAGTGAACCGGACTCATAGAGGAGTCGCAGTCATTAACTGGGCAGAAATGGAAAATAATACGGAGAATCGCGGGTGGTTGACAAACCCACTGTCCTACTCCAAAACCGAATTAGTCTACGGTGTTTTTAAGTTCACTATTTGATGAATTTCGCGCGTATCAACACAGAAGTACTCGACAACCGTGGACAACGCACCCAATGGATCGATTCCGGCCTCGAAGGAGGTTTGCATCTCAGGTTGGTCGCCCTGATCGACGACTGAGCACTGGTTGAGAGCCAGCCAGAGGGAGGCGAGACTGGAGACGAGGACGGGGAAAACGTGGGCCACTTCAGCGCGGCCTCGTGCCCAGTCGAGCCTGGGGTCGGCGCTGGGAGGCATCACCTCGGTGCCCAGGAGGTCCTGAAACCGACGACAGAAACCCAAAATCTCACACGGCAGTTACACTTCCGTGGTGATAGCCACGTGACGCAGCATCCAAGGTAAGGTTTCTCAAAACCAATTTTTGCCTCATCGGCTGGCTTAGAGACGTCAAACTCCACCAACGGCTGAAGACCATACAAGAGAGACGCTAACGGCTCTACGTGGCTGTGTAAGACGCGCATGAGGATTGTCATACACGACTATCAGCATAAACAATCGTGGCAGTTAGACAAAAGAGGAGGCTGAACAGACATGCGTCGACAGTTGGTGATAGATGTGAATTATCACAGTCCCCTGAAAAGACATTGTGGATCTTGAGTGGAAATTTGGGTGTACTTCAATCTCTGAAGCTGGCACACGCACACACAACTTCAAATGCTCATAACGACCACGCACTCACCCATTGGCTAAGTCTACTTTAAATGCGCTACCACGTGCACGTGATACTCGACATTTGTCGGTGCGAATGTTGAACGGGAAACACAGCACACCGCCAACTGACAACAGCTGAATTTTGCCACCAAGATGTATTACAACTGACCTTGGAGGCGGTCGAGGTGATGTGTCCGACGGCGGACGCCAGATCGGTTTCAACGCACTCCCGGTGGATTCGTTGGAGGGCCAGACTGACGGGTGGGAAGTTGAAGCGATTGACGTCGCGCAGAGCCGAGGCGATCTCGTTGGCTCCGACCGCCACCTCCGACATGCCGCAGGCGTTTGATGAGAGCGTCTCGTCTACAGGGTGGCAATGCAATCTAATCACGTCTGGTTCAATCACGCCGAAAGACAACTTTTTGCGATCGATATCGAAAAGCAGGACATGGATAAACGAACCAATACACGCCGCCGAAACGGCGAAACCAGTATTCCAACCGAAATCTCGATCTACAACGGCTGACCACACACTACAGCGCCACTGCTTCGGACAGGCTTCGGTGATATTAGTGAGGGGTTCGGGACGATTCGTTGCTTAGAATGTGCTGCAGTGGGTTAAATTGGGTTGAAATACCAGTTCTTAATTGTAATGTAAACTGTACCAGTAAGACAAGCTAACGCTCCGATTCGTATTTTCCAATGACCGTGAAATACGTGTTCAAGGGGACTAGTGAGTTGCGTGGTAAAGATGCAGGCTTGCCTTTTGATGAGGCAGGCGACTCGCTGATGGGTGTGGATTTCTGCCTCGACGTCTGATTGGACTGGGCGGCTGACGAATGACAGGCAGCCGTGACGGCACCCGAGGCCATTCCGTGCAGCAGCGAGGTCCGCGATTGGCCGAACGGCAGCAGGAAGGCGTGGGTGATGCCCTGCAGGCACGCGAGCACTTGCAGAGTATAGCCGATTGGATATCCCGGCGACGCAGGCTGTCTGTTTATCCTGAGTAGAAGAAAAAACAACTCCGAGTCAGGATAAATACAAGCAAAATGTGGTAAGAACAGAGGCATAGAGAATACGAGACCCACGTGGGGGCTAGTCCGTGGTAGAAGGGTTCGGCAAGCAGTTGCAGAGACCCGCCCATTTGCATGATGACGAGATTGAGCATGTAGGCGGTGGCGGCACCCCAGCAGGGGAGGCTTTTGAGGAGGAACCGGAACCACGCGGGGTGCAGGTCGACGCGCCCGCCAGGGCACAAGGCCAGCCTGAGGGTGTTGAGGAGGAGGGGCTGTGAGGCCACGTGGCGCATGCCCTCTGAGCAGACGATGAACCTGGAGCCGGCGACACCAAGCAGCAGCGGCGAGGCCGTCTGGCCCAGGCGCTTGAGCACCGCGACGACGTTGCTGGGTCGACCGGGTAGGCACCACGGCAGGCCGCCACCGAAGGCGAGGTGGCCCTTGCGCGGCGAGGGCGAAGACGACGCCGCGGCCGCTGTGGTCTTCTTCGCCGAGGCGAGCACCTTGCTGACGCGGTTCATGGACGTCGCGGGCGCCGAGCCCGCGGGCTTCGGCAGCCCGACCTGGCGTGTCAGCTGAAGCAGGCTCAGTGTGAGACCCAGGAGTGTCTGCAGTTCGGCTTGGCGGTGGGACGCGGTGCAGCTGTTTGCTCGCAACAGACGCAAGCACAGCGACAGGCCACCTTCATCTTCACAGTCGAAACTAAAAATAACACAACACCCATTTCCTCATCCACCAGGATATACAAAATAAACACGTTGCTGTGAGAAACGTGCACAATTACAGCGCAAAACAAAGTGACAAAGCGTGCTTCCGATATCCCCCAAAACCAATTTGAAGTTTCACTTTCAAACCACCTGTTTCCAGAGTGTGTTAACGGGCGGACTGGTTTTAAGTAAATGTGGCGTAACTTCACCACTCTCAATGCTGTTACACAGTCCAGATAAATTTTGACATTCGAGTGCCACGAATGCTCGTACGCAGGCAGATTTGTAGAAACGAATCACTCACTCTTTAGGACTGAGATGTCACGTTTTAACTAGAATTAGCCTCGGTTTAACCATTTTTGAGCAATTTGCTGATGGAAGTTGCAGCGACTTGCATGCTCTCGAGTTAATCAATGCTGTGTAGGGATTCGCGTTCACTCATGTCCAATAGCCACCCAGTCCTAGCAGCTTCCAGCACGCATCCCCCCTTTTCACGACCTGCTCGTCAGTCACGTGAGGCCGCTGGTTCATTAACCACTCCGCATGTCCCACCACCACCACCCGTTTTAGTCATGTGACCTCACGGACACCTGTGTTTATTTTTGTACATGTCCACTGAACCGTAATTGTCCACGACACAACTTGGTTGAGCGGTGTAGTAAAACGGTTGTGCCTCCTCCACTCCGGTCTTCTTTATTTTCGCGGGAACACAGGGTAAAGTATTCGGCCTAGATTGTCGCAGTGGCCCCGGCGTGGTTTAAGACAACATGCCGGGGCCCTCTAGAGCTGTTAAGCTTGATTCTGAGCAAGGGTGACTTGAAGATTAGGCAAAACGACTAATCACGAATTTGAGACTTGGAGTGGAGATAATGCGGGATAGCTGTTCGTTTGCAGAGTGTAACTCGTCTCCAACGACCCACAACGGAGTCAGATGGAGTTACGCGACCTTCCCAATCGAAACCAACGGTGGATGGAGAAGAGTCACACACAAAAAATTGGGCTTGGAAGCATCAAAAGGCATCGAACCTTGCTGGTAAGTGGGACAGCTCGACACACGTGGCGAGGCAGTGAAGAACGGCTTGAGACAGGCCCGATCTTTGTATCACAGCGCTGATCCACGACGAACGTGGACTATGCACCTTGGCTATCAGGGCGGCCATTTGATTGGTAGATTGAGCATCGGTGCCTGATTTGGGCCAACTCGAGGTCAGAGCCTCCTCATTGGCGTCAATTTCAGCGAGTCGCTAAGAGTACAAAAGAAAATAAGCATTCAATGATAGTGGGTCTCCACCTAAATGAGCCTTTTTATTCCAAAATTTGAAGGTGGGAGTTAGCCCGACTGGCTGAATTTACAAACCAGCGTATTAGATGAGCCCACAGTGACCTAGGCGGTGGTCTGGCAGCCACCTCGCGTGAATGACGCGTGCATGAGGACCCGAGTGGACCAATGACTCACCCCTTTTGTTATTGGCCTCTGCCAGCATTCGCCTGTTACGCACGCGGACTCACACAAACACAAGGCCACTTGGCTGTTTTGACACCAATAAACCAGTCGTGTCCACTGTCGCCTCTTGTTCCACTCCATTCTCTTAACTAGAGGGTTGTAAGGTAGTGCTAAGTCTCTAGTCACTACAAACTCAGGCTCCAACGTTACGAGAAACGCACCTCAGCAACGAGGTGGAGGACTTCGGCGGCCAGCTGACGGACGTTTGCGTTCGCCGACGCGGCGGCACCGTCGTTGGGCACGAGGTCGGGCAGCGCGCTGGGCGCCGCCACGGAGCACAGGAAGGCGGTGCAGACGAAGACAAGCACGTCCAAGAGACAGGGCATCCTCGACTGGAGGATGCGCTCAATCTCCTCCATGGTGGAGTGACGCACGAAGGCGTCGCCGCCGCCAAGCAGACAGCGGTAGTGTCGGGCGAGAAGGTCCGGAAGACCTTGGAGAGAGAGAGAGATGACATACAGAAGAGTTCCCGAGTATATTCTGTTAATATTAATTTGTAGGTGTGTCCCTTCATTAAAATGTCCATTTTGACCTGTCTATTCGTTCGAAAATAACTGTGCTGAAGCCGCATGTACTATCCAGTTGTGGTTAGGCGTCATCCGCATACAACGGATGTATCGGGTTCCTACCACTACCAAAAACAAGCAGCAGTAATAATTTTGGTTGGGAAGGGAGCGATTTCAGTTTCCAGAATGGATTCAGTTTGCCTTGACTAAAGGCGGTGGCTCGGGGTGAGTAAGAACAAACATTTTTGGCATATTTGATCCACTCATTATTGTGATATCAGGACAGATGCTGAAGCTGGTTTCAGGAATGGGTTAAAATTACCTTCGACGAACTTACTACCTACATCATTCTGGTTGACGATGACCAAACCAGCCATTTAATCGGATCGCCCCTAGTCAACAATTAACAATCGTCGAAGGTACCGTGAATTGCTCAGCCAGCTCGATGCTGAGTTTGCAGGAATTGAAAGAAAAACTTCAGGCTCAACGACACGCTGTTCACCATTGGAGATGAAAAGTGAACAGTCCAAAATAACACTTACTGACGACTACCCCGATCCCATCGCGACGAGCAAGTTAGAATCATTTTAAAATCTGATTTGTGCCACGAGTGCGGGATTACGAAGGTGTTGCAAATCCCGAGCTGTTTCTAAGGCCACCAAACAACCAATCCAAACGTTTGCTGTCAACAGCCAATCAAAATGACTTAGGAAGGTATCAAAGAAAGACGGCAAGGCAATTGTGCTGCATCAAGACAAACGAGGGATTTCACACACACGCGTGGCAACTCGTGGAAAATCATTGTCACCCACTTCGCCTTACTTCTAGGTTTGCAAAACTCATCAAATAGTAAAACTTGCGTTAGATGAGCGTAAGATTATGAAATACAGCAAAACGTCGTTGAAACAAGCAAAGTTCAGTTTTTGTGCATAAACAAGACGAATTTTCACCTCACACTACAAGAGCGAAACTACTTTCTTGATAATCGGTTAGAATTCCATCATTGGAGCCATTTCAGCATCACGAGATTCAACCGTACCTCGTCGAAACAACTCACAAACGAAGACCAATGATGGCATCAGTCAAAGTGGGGTACAGGTCTAATTCTGAGCACCGATTTAAATAGCGATTTAAGCAAAACTTGCAGCCGACAAACGCAGAAGGAGCTTACTGGTTCCGAAGAGCTTCGGAAAGTCACAGGAGGCAAACTGGGAGGGCTCAGCGGCAACCGAAGCCGGGTGGCTGCGCGGCCTCGCGGCGGTCGGAGACGCCGCCAACGCGAGCAAAAACAGCCCCCCGACGTGGCTCGTGAGGATGGCACGAATCCGCGTCAACGCGTACGCCACCTGTTGCAACAGAAGAGCAAATGCCTGCATTGCGGTTGTGCTTTTTGACGAGGTCGTTGCACGTGTTCGGGGAGCACATTCCTCACTTTACAACTACTGTATCAAGCGTGAAGTTTATTGACGTTAGGTCACCATGAAAGCCGACAAGAAACCGCAGTTCCGACGGCACCAGAAACGGTGCAGCAAGTTTGTGGGCAGCGAATCACGCACCGTTTGAGTGACGCCCAAGGGAACCCATGGGGCACAAGTTGGATGAGAAAGTAGACGCCAAGTAACGCACCTGGCGATAACTGAGGCAATGAATTTCGACTGGAAATGTTGAGGATTCACACAATTACGCCACCGAAAACACCTCGGATATGGTATTATCCAAAAGTTACGTCATTTCCACGTCCACAAACACAACTCTTCGCTCAGTGTTAACCAGTCAAACAACTCATTGGGACACGCTGTGTCGAAAGAGGCATTCGACGACGTTAGAAGGTGGTTTCCTTGACATCATAAAGATAAAACCATCGAATTAGACGTCGCGTACAAGTTGGCCAGACATTCAAGAAAGTTGCACGACTCAGCGGTTGGGCTAAATTCACAAATTAGAGAAGCGCACTGTCTCTCTACGAGAATCCATAAGTGGCGGCTCTTTACGCACTTTCCCAGTAGGTCAGACTCGCGAACCTTCACAGATCTGGAGGTGTGAACTGACGCCGTAGCACAATAAATTGACGGTCAATTGAAACGCATGGGGGGCGCACAGCATTTCTGTTTAAACAAAGATGCATGCGAAATAAACCTGCCTGGTTGAAGTCGAATGTGTGCAGGTAGACAAGAAGGTGCTCGTGAACAGGCAACACCTTGACAGAGGAATGCCCTGAAAAGACAAAGGAGGGTAATCTAGACACATTCGCAACTGCAGTAAATCGTAGTCGCTACAACACGACACAACAGATTGAGGAAAAATGGCGGTGAGAAGCGATGTCCTGGTTAAGTCACGATTACAAAATAGCCAACCGGTTTGAAGGTCCAGCGGACCCCCTGTTGAACCACTCAGTCGCATTCTTGTGTCAACCCCATTCCCGTATGCATGGACAAACGCCTGAGTTTACGCTCAATGACCCAGGCACCCTGCTGTTCACCATTGCGATCTCCTTTGCCTACGGTCGCCTCATCCTTCCGCGGTATTTGCTTGACGCGCATCCGGACCTTCAACGACAACCCTCCCCCCTAAACATGGCCACCAACAACGGAACGGAAGCTCACCTGTCTGGAAGAGGGACGATACGCCGAGGGTTTTTGCACCGTTGCACTCGGCAACATTGGCCTCCGGCGACAGCAGCTGCGACAGAAGCGCTAAAACAACAGACGCACCGATAATGTGTGTGAGGTTACTGGCGAAACCCGGGGGAAAAACCTTGCACCGCCAACAGAAGCATTGAAAGCAAAAGCCTTGGAACACAGACATGCATTGCTACGAACAAGCAGCGAGCGAATTAACAATACGTAGTTACAGGTTTTAATAGTTCAGCATAAACAGATATGTGTGTGTGTGGGTGTGTGTGTGTGGTACCAACAGGGGTACATTGAGAGGCAGAAATATACACCAGCTTACCATGGCAGCGAACTTTTCCTGAATGAATGAAATTGTCAAAAGTAGAGGTTAAAAACAACTGTAATCAAGTTACTGTACCATCGCTTCAGCCATCGCTCAAAACTGACAGCTACAGATGGAAGTGGGTATTCGATGAGACAGATAGGAGTGGAAGCTAGGACCGGCGTCACCTACCTAGTGCGACGTCCCTCCGGGCATTTTCAGTTTGCGAGCGTTCACGACCACCGGGGTTTCCATTGGAGTGGGAATCTACCTGGAGGTTGGCCATGACATCGACTGGACGGTATTTCTCGTCAAAGACATCGTCGTCGGCAGACTTCTTGGGAGTTTTCTTCGGTTTACTAAACGCCTGTTTCAAATAGGGAACAGCGGAGTTAGACGCATACTAAGACGACGTTACGTTGGTCATCCAACAACCCCTTGTGGCCATACCACAGACTAACAATCTTACGATTATCCAAGAGCAATACTTGGTCACCTTATCACACCGCTCTACAAGACCGAAGTAGATTTGGCATTAGAGATGGGTGACTTTAAACAAAATTCTACAAGCAACGGCGATTATGAGAGAAAAGGGTGCTTTGACGGCCTCGTACCTCTGATGTCGGGGAAAGGAAGAAGTGCAGTTCGTCAGATGGCGTGCCGCCAGACAGTGCACAGATGTTGCTGTCGTACTCTTCTTCTTCGTCTTGCTCGTCGGCGTCTTCATCAAGGCTGGATGCATCGGAGTCCGTGTCGGCGTCACTAGCATGGACATCTGGAAGCAAGGAAGAGGAAAGGATAATGGTGGTGGTGGAGGTGGTGGTGGTGGTAAGAGCAAACAAGTTGTCTGAAATTACTTAATAGAATGGCTTTTAATGCTTTCAATTCAGTAAATACAACCAGGACGCAAAACCATACACTATAAGTCTCGAATGCCATAAGTACAGTGCACAGTCAAACCTAGAAGTAACAAACTCTCCACCACTCCCACTTTTTCAATCACATAGCAAACGAGCTACTGGTTTATCCACGCGCGACGAGCACCGGCAACACGTGCAGAACTAGGCAGTGTGCAAAATTGAACATCGTCGACTCAGACAAAACTCGCCTCCGTTCTCGGCAGCGTTTCTAGTGCGGCGAAGCTGAAGCCGACGCAGGAAGCGCCGCCTCTCACGCATCGCCACCAGACTGGTTCGCGCCGTGCCGGGGTGCAGGAGAGCCCCGAAAATGGGGGCCACAACCCTGCCCACCTGACCGGTCAAGAGGGCCGTTGACAGCCACGTGAGGGTGGCCTGACGGATCTGCAGGGCGGTGTTTTCCACGCTTTCGGGGGGATCCGGTGCGAGGGAAAGCCTGTCGCGAGACAACGGCGCGTTCACGCTTCCAGTGTCATCGACGCTGTCCAGGAGGATCAGCAAACAGCTGCAAGGTAGCATTGAAGACAGGCGGTGACGAAAGAGGCTACTCCGCTTTAATTGATACAACTTGTAGTCAAGTGAACTCAAAATACTAAAGCATGCCTACCCTCCACTCTTCAACGCACCCCTGGATCGGTTCCAGCTTAAACAGGGGACGTGAAGGTGTAGCGGAGTGTCAGTGTTTGCAAGTGGACCTTGTTCGCTGACCAGACGGTGACAATGACTCATCCCTATTCAATTGTTTACAGTTATCAGTCGGATGGCGTGACGCTGATAAACGGTCGTATCCTCGGTCCCAGTCTTGTCTCTTTTCTCGGGTTTTCAAAGATGTTTAACTAGAGGGCTGTAAGGCAGTGCTAGCAAGCCACCAAATTAATGATTTCGAGGTATGTGGCTAGGGAATTCGGTGACCCAGTCAAACGCAACTACCACATTTTTGACTCCGCCGATTGGTGATTTCTTTTGAACTTTTCCCAATCTGGGCACTTTCCCCTTCCATGGATTTCTTCCAGCGTTTCGTGGAAATGCACTTTGAGGCGGTGAAGGAGGATGCCGTCTAAGTTGTCCATTTAACTACTGGGATCTTGGAATTACACACCAATGAAAACATTGCCGTAATCACACACAAGTGAACACTAGATCTATCACAACGAGATGAGAGCAGTCATTCGGTCAACAGCAGACAGCTTTTCACGACCTTTGAGGTGAATTGATTGAGACACGAAAGCAAACATGAAATATTCTTAATGCACAAAATTAAAAACTGCCAGCAGAACCGACCTGAACACGCCAGACAATGCCACGTAATAAATAAAATTCTGGCCCCTGGATGGCGCAGTGGAAACATCAGCTGTTTTTCATGGGTCGAATAAAGCAAACGCAACGAGTACATTAAATTCCTGGGAAGCGGTAAAGCGAGTTTAGTTTAAGTAAAACAGGCGTTTTTTTGCACAAAAAGAAGGTCAAGAAGGTAGACGATGGGAATCTGAAAGCACAACCAGGCAATGCTTTGCTGGTAAATCACATCGATCAATGAAGGCAATAGACGCAGGTCACACGCGCATACCCCTACGACACAATTGAGTAATCCAATTTCGAAAAAAAAGAATGTGTGTGAGAGTCGGAAAGAATCTTACGTGTCTACTTCCGCAACAAAAACATACTGAATAACAGGTGACCCGTGAAATTTGAAACTGAAGATACGATTTTGAGAGAAAAATCAACGTGACATAACGGTCAGAGGTTTGTGCCGTTTCGGCCTACTGATACATAGAACTTGTAAACAAGCATTATTTACGAATCCGCACACGTTTTATCAACGATGGACGTTTCTGTGTCTTGGTTATCCAGGGAGCAAATTGTGTGCCATTCAACGAGAATCCAAATTAAGAGAACGAGTGAATCAGGAATAACGTGACACGTGTTATATAACTAGATGATGTGCTCATCGGAATGCATAAACGACTGAAAACTGTACATGCATTGGGACAGCAAAACGAACTGACGACTTGACAACCGGACCGAAACTTACCGATTAAACGCGGCTACATTTGAGGCTTCGTTGGACACAGGGGGCAGACCCATGGCTGTTCGACGCCAACTGGAAGCCCACGGGCCCTGACTGGACGCCTCGCCGTCGGCACTGGCTCTGCCACGCGACGCCGACGACGAGGAGTGACGCCGCAGAAGGTGCCACAGCAAAGCAAAGCGTCGCTGAAAGAGAACGTGGAATCGTACTTTAGCAGCATTAAAAAAAGGTGCGTTGAGGTTGCCTAGCCTAAGTCCTACTAAGAAGTGTCAGTCTAACATGTGGCAGATGAGGGTTTTTGGGGTGTCTTCATCTACGAAATTTGGCATTTGAGCAGAACTAATTCAGCCTTGGGTGCCGCTGTAGCGTGTTTCACACCGTAACGTTTTTTCAACGGTTTAGTCGGACATTTAAGTGGTGCACAATTAAGAAGTGGTGTCACGATGATGCCCTCTCAAACACGGCTGCGTAGTGGGGAAAATCATGGCGCAAATGCAATTTCCACGAACAAGAAGGCTCCATGGAGAGAGGGTTGACAGTCCTATGGGTCAGCGAGGAATGGGAACGAGTTCTTGCATAACTTTGAATCTAACGGTGAAGGTCTGCTGGTGAATAACGAAATACTAGTGCCAGGAGGTTTTCGCCAGAGGAGGGAGGCTGTATGGAAGAGAGCAGGCTTGCAGTGCTTTGTAAGTGCAACCATGTCCATCTTCTAACTGGAGATGCACCTACCAGATAAACCGACGGCGATCTAGTAAAGAACTACTAAACACACGACTCACACACTGATGTGGCATGAGTCGGAAATGTCTGAATCATGCTGATACGAATACAGGTGCGCACGCCCAGTAAAACGAAGGAACTTGGTTAGACAGTAGTTAGTTTCTAAAATTGGTTTAATTCAACTTTGTAATATCCATATGGTATTGTAGATCCAATTCTGTAAACCACGATACAGTTGCGCTGACAATATTAAGCCGCCTTGGCTTTCTCGAGGTGGTTGAAAGCTTCCGCAAACAAACTGCTTCCTCGTTCATTTCTTCGAGGCCACAAAACCACCATGGGATGTGACTATTTTGGCCAGGAGCAGCGACAGGCAATTTCTCCTTGTTTTTAATGTGAACGTTCAAGGGAATTCGCCACGTATCACAACGTGGAGAGCTCTTTTAACAGGGCAAGGATCTTGTGTCGGTTGAGTTCGGGCAGACCACCAAAGAATCAGCGATAAATCAGTGTTCGAAATAAGTGAACACGACACATTAACGCGGCGGAACAGCACGTCTTGTGCATGGGAACTTTTGGGCAAAATCGCCATCTAGTAAAAAATGACGATACAAACCGATAGGGGGTTTACAAAAACCGCCATGATTTACAACGCACATGTGCCTCCACACGAACGGCCGAGTCAGTGGAGAGCATACGGGTCACGATGAAGTCTTCAACCACCGTCTCCGTGGCCACGGCGACATTCCGCGAGGCCTTCTGATTCGGCGCGACGGCCAAGACGCGATTGAGGAGGGCTGCGGTGTCCTCGAGGCATGACGAGTCGTCCAGGAAGAACCACAAGGACACACCGACGATCTGGTGCGAAAGGGGAAGAAGCAAAGCCGAATGAAAGACGCTACCTTCAAAATGGTGTCGGCGCGAATTGGGTGCAGTCGCCTCCGTCAACTAAAGCACACCACATTACCTCCACTTCATAGTGAAAGCTCCCTGATGTGTTAATCCCTTCTTAATCTAGCGGGCCAAGGTCACTGGACGTGACAGCAAAGGGTCTCAGCACGAGATTTTGTCTTTGTCCTGGAGTGGGAAGGTGAGGCATGCATATTAGTTTTCTGAGGGTTCGCTATTGGTTAACCCCCCCCCCCACTCCCCGAAAAGCAAAACCATTCATAACTTGTTCAAGATATCGGAGTTAGGAACATCGATTGACCTACAAACCACAGACAAGTATTGTACATCGATGTATAAATTGTTTGGAATTTCAGGTAATACGGCGCAACTACGGATAAACATACGTTGGTGGTCATCACAAATTGTAAACTGTCACAACGAAGAACTACTCTAACAATTACATTCGACGGCAGTATTATGAGATTTTTAAGGAAGTCAACACTCCCTAAAACTCCATGCTTCAAAACTTTCATACACACCACTCTCCAATCGACCGCGCACCTAGTTTTGCCTTGGTTGTCAAGGTTGGTTGTCAACCAATACATAAATGTCATTGGGCGTACTGCAAGCGTTACTGAGGCATTTGGTTGAGACAATAAAATGTTCCATGTCTCGCGCCATACGTGGTCTTGGCATTGTTTCTAAACCCAGGTAAACGGGAATCGTGCACTTGGGCGTGGTATTCGTGCTCGAAGGTTCTAGTTGTCTGGCAAACATGGCTTACACCCCACCAGAAGGTCTGTGTTCTCGCAGACACGACCACTCACAGGAAAGAGATCCAGACGCCAGGCAATCGTGGTGAGGACCTCGGGCGAGAGGACAGGGAGCAGAAGCCTGCATCGGTCCCACTGAGTCGCACCGCCAGGCGACACCCACCCGTGGATTGACGTCGACGCTTCTACGAGGTCTAGGAGGGTGTGCAGACAGATGGCTTTGAGATCGAAGTCACTTGAGAGCGCTCCACCGGCGACAAGGCAGGCCAGCCACTCGGGAAGCCCTGAAAACACAAAAAAAGGCAGTGGGTCATTTCAAAGGGAACAAGGGAACAAAACAGTAATGCAAGTTGGTCCAAACTCACCAAATTTATCGTCCTTCTTGCAGCCACTACGGAACAAGTCGTTGAAGTCGAAGTCTTCAAAAGAGGTAGGTCGCACAAGAGGAACATTGCACATGTCCACGACGAGGCGGCACAGTTGCGCGAACATGTCGTTAACAACATGGCCATCATTGTCGTGGGAGCCCAAGAAGGTGCAAAAGTTGTTCTCTAGGTTGGTTAAGTCCTTATCCGAGGGCTGGAGGAATTCAAGGCCGGCATCGATCTGAACACAAATTAAAACCAGGAAAGATCGCGTGAAACGACGTGACTGAGAGAGAGAGAGAAAGAAGGAGATCAAAACTCAACACACCTGAGCTTGTGAAGTACACAGAAAGTGCTTGAAAAACGCGCCCAGGAGGAGACGCACGTCACCAACTGTCGAGGCGATTAACCGCAGCTCCTTCTCCCGCTGGGGGACGACATTGCCTGGTGGGAAGGGACTGGTCGGTGGTCGGGAGACTGAGCCGGAACGCGTCACATCGGCCAACGATTGGTCAAACATTGTGACCATGTGCTCTTGTGTGTGGCCAATGAGAACCGAGAGCAGAGAGATGAAGTCTGCGATCTCCGCGAGTTTCAATTGGCCCATATGTGCACTCAACTTCTGGGCAAGTGACGAGACCATGCGAGGCAGGTAGTGGCCGCGGACCTCTGGGTACGTGTCGATTGGCAGATGCTCCACCAGAAACCGCACGGCCGCGATCCAATTGCGAAGGTTCACCACGACCCCGGCAGCTACCGCCTCGGCTTCCTGGTTCTCGCGTTCCGTGGAATTTGCGACCTCGTGTGAGAGGAGACGCGTAAAGTGCGACTCGAGGAAGGGCCACAGGAAAGCGGACTCGAGGTTAGAGAAAAAGAGTTCCGCCTCACGCATGAAATCTGCCTCGGCGGAGGGACGCGCCATGGCGGTGGAGGGGTCGGCGTGATCGCTCAAATGGCGCGTTCCACGCTGGCTTTGCAAGTGTGGCTGTCCAACGGCGAGAGCCACTGGCCGACTTCCACCTGTCGTGAAAGGCAGCAGTGTTCAAAGGTGTGTAAAAGTGTACCTCAACAAAGGCTGACGACGCGTCGTCCTGACCTGCACGGTCATGGAAAGCCACATGTGCTGCTGTCTTTGGAGAATGTGACTTTGGTGGATGAGTAATTAAAATCACCAGCGGTTAGATCGGAGGGCAAACTTTTATGGTCAGCAAATGCACTACCAACAAGGCCTGCAAGCCAAACTGCTCTAACCACAAGCTTGCAATTTTGCAGCTATTTTAACCGAAAAGGAAGAAAAATCTGCTTAAACCCTTGTCCAAAGTTAACGGTGGGAATTCTAGATTAGACATAGAATTTTCAATTGCCGTTTTGGAGGACTGACACGTGATTTCGGATTGACCGATAGCGTGGGACTGGTACTGCGCCAACATCTCAAGAACCGTCTGGTGAATGGCTTTGGCGCGTTGTTCTTTCGGCGAAGACGACGTCGACGACGGAGGAGATGGCTCCGGTGTCCGTTCTTCGTTATCCTGCAGTCGATGGTACATTTTGAGAGTAAAGAAGATGAAATCCACCAGCACCTTCTCCATCAGCAGTGAGCCAACTTCTGAGCGGTTTAGCAGACCCGCTATGAGCCTGAATGGACGGTAACTGACGGACCGATCTACAACAACACCAACATTAACAAGTAGCGTAAAACAAATACCCAAAAACCGCTTACAACGTGGAGCACCAAAGTGTCAAAACCGTTGTCTGGCTCTCAAACCAACACGTACATTTTGTAAATGACCTAAATAAAGCCCGCCGTTTGATGATCTCCGCGCCTATCGTTGGCAGACAAGTGGTGACGACCGTAGTCAGATGCACAGACTTACTTGTGGCCAGTGGATCTCCGGTGGAGGGAGATGAGAGTGCTGATTGAAGGATGCTTTGAATGGCCCCAATCAGCAATTCCAGACCGAATTTTTTGAAGTACTGCAATTGAAGGGTCGCGTCGGATTCACTTTGGACCTGCGGAAATGAAGGAAAAGGCCATGACACTAACCGACGATTCAACTAAGGGCAATGTTTGATGAAAAGTTAGACTCTAATGCCTGCTTGAGCGTTCGGACAGACCACGTTTCGTCGTACGGTTGCCCCACTCCACCTCATAGCTAAAATGAACGTACGCCATCAGACTGCAGTGCGATCCTGGCGACAGTTGAGGCCTGCTGACTGTCGGCAGATTCGGTAGGCTGTGAGCCCAAGAGCCAGATGAAGAGGCGCCGATTCAGGGAGGCGTCTTTCCTGAGAAGCACAGTCAGCGCGGCGCCAAGCAGGTCCCGCATGGCTGTGGGCGATATCTGCCCGCACAGCGGGTGCTGTTGCCGTGACGCCGTCGCATCCACAACGTGCAATGGCAGCGCGAGGATGACGAAGTCTAGGGTGTCGCGTTGAACCAGCACCACCGTGTCACTCAGCAGACATCGAAGGCTCTCCATCTGAGTAGGAGACAATATTTAAATCTCCAAGCGATTCCTTTTGGCCAATTGGTTGAGTTGCATTACAACAGACGAATATACACCCATATATAGTCGGTATGGGAAAGGATCAGGAATCAGTCAGAACTAAATCTGTAAACTCTTGGTGTCAAACTGGTGACCAAAATTAACCAGGGCGTACGAACATCGACATGCAGTGTTTATAAAATCTCTTTGACGCCAAAACTACTCATTAACCCGGAACTGTTGATGCAAAGAAACACTAACGTATAGCTGCATGAAAAGAACTTTCCGGCAAATGTGATATTGCCAAGTCTGATCGAACACTTGCCAAAATCAACCAAACCTGGTCGACATGAAAGCAATCAGTAGCTTTTGCCGACGGTGTCACATCCCATGGTGACTGACCTTCACACAGCCAATGAGCATTTAGGCGAACGCAAAAAGAAAACCCACGCATACCATCACCGTGGTCGAGGTCCCGAAGAAGAAGGCCTGAGTGGAAATGTGTCGCCGCTTGTTGAAGTGGTTGAGGATGAAAGCGGTGCCAAAATGTCGGACGGACGGAGCTTGAATGAGGACCTTTGGGATATTTTAAGCACAAGAATTTGAATAAAAATCGGACAGGGAAGGCTTGACGCCACCCCATATCGGGTTAAAATGAACAGTTTTTGTTCTTGTTTAGTCATTAATTTTACTGCATGTTTTAAATTGAGTGAAAAGACTAAGAAAACTGGACTAAAATCGATGTAGCACGGAGAAACTGATTACACGAAGTGATGCTGATTCGAGAGATGGAACTGTCCTGGACAATCATGTCACCACCACCCAGAAACTCACTAGTTGTTAAAGGGAGGAATTTAAGCCCGATTTCATAGTGTCTGGTGTATTTATTCACCTGTAGCATAAAACAACCATTGACGTCAGTGAACATGGGAGTTAATTGGATGGCAGGAGTTAAATGTTTGAATGTAAACCAGCATCCACTGTGGAGCCTTTTAATTACTCATGAAAAAACTGCTTTTTACAGATCTATTACCCTGCGCAGTGATCCGCACGAGGGTGTTTCAAAAACACAACACTATTATCTTATTGAAAATGACGTGGCAGTTTGTCAAGTGCTGCGGTAACTCACAACTAACAGTGCACCTTAACAAACAAACAAACGCTAATTGAAGACATCGCTCTTAAATAGGGGAAAATGAACCTTAGTAATGTGCCGTCAAGACTCAAACTCGTCTCAAAGCAAGAAGTTTAAGTTCGGAATGTCTGCCTTTAGCGAACACAAAAAGAGGGAAGCAGGAGTCGCATACAATAGACGTCAACTAAACAGGTACAACTAAGATATCGATGATAAGTCCTTATTTGTGGTGTTAATAGTAATTACTTGAATCTTGGTTTAGCGCAAATCAACTTATTGGTGGCCGCTTAAAGCATTCGGGCAATTCTCAAGCGCTATGAATGTGCTCAAGTCAAGGTCATGGGGAGCCAGAACAAAGCTCACCTGCCAAAGACACGTGTAGAAGAACTCAGGCTCCACTGCCCGACAAAAGCGCTCGATGATGTTGTTGCCACGCTCGAAGAACTCCGAGCCCTCCTCAAGACCCGGCAGAAGGCCCTAAAAAGAAATTTTAAAAAATGTTGCGAACGGACCAAACCGGAAGGGACACAACTAAAATCGTTTCTAAGTAAAGCCCTCGCACTTGTAAGAAAAGAGAGTTGTGAGAAAATGTAATGGACGTAGGTGGTGATAATAAGATAGCTTTGGCTGATAGCAGGCAACCTTCTAGAGTCTGTAGTGGCTAGAGATTTAGCACTACCTTACAACCATCTAGTTAACAGCCCGTAACTACCCGAGAAAAGAGGGAAGAGAGGCGACAGTGGACACGACCATTTATTAGTGTCACAAAAGCCAAGGGGCTTTGCATACGTATGAGTACGCATGCGTAACAGGCGAATGCTGACAGAGGCCAATAACAAAAGGGGTGAGTCATTGGTCCACTAAGGGCCCTCATGCACGCACACTCACGCGGGGTGGCTGTCAGTCCACTACAAGTCTTCGTTGTAAAAGTGCATAAATTGAGTATATGTGGAAAATGGGCATGCTGAGGTTAACCACTTTCGAAAAATAGGTGGTAAATTGAACAGTCAAATTGAAATGGCCAACAGATAAACGCAAAAAAGGCCACATCATGCCAGCTTGAACTATTTCCACCACAATATGTCGCTTGGTAAACCAATACACCATGAAAAGGGACGAGTTTTATTCTATCAAAATTGAGTTCACAACGCCTTTACAGACTACGATAAAACATAGTAAAAAAAGGCTATATCAACGAAGTGGAGAAATAGTTACTCACTTGTAGAAGTCCAAGGAATGCCGGTCTTAATTTCTCTCCGAGCGGAAGGAAGTAGTTTTCGAAGAGATCGAAAAGTGGTGGCTTCACGCTCATTGCGGAAGGACCCAGAAGGCTAAATAGGCAGGGACCGTAAATTGCGATGTCCGTGGCGAGGTTTTCAGGTCCCATGATGGGCAGGATGAGGTCAAAGCACTCGAGGGTTTTGCAGTGCACTCCAGAAGGTAGAGCTGGGTGAAGGCATTGGGCCAAGCGCTTACCCAATAAACGCTTTTTTGGAATTATTTTGTACCGACTGTTTTGTTGGATTAACTAAAATAGAATGCATTGGAAGCAATCAAAATACGCATCATGTTTATTATATGACTATGACGAAATTTACCCTGAAATGTAATAGGCAAGGGTAAAGAGCACAAAATACCATAGTTGAAAATAGATAAAAAGTTAACTTTTTCGTACTGTGTTAGAAATGGAAAGTAAAAGATTACAGAAACAAAACGATACTCATCATCCATTAAAAGTTTGTTGCGATAGTGCTACAAATTAAAAATTGCAAATTGCAATATCGTGCAATCGGCGACGAGATAAAAAATAAAAAGGTGGAGAAAACAGTCGAAAAAAGTAAAAATTGGAGGAAAATGCTCATCTCAAAAAATAGAAATGCAAAAGGTACTCAACTCAAAAAAATAAAAAAATTTATGCGCATTTGCCACAAAGGAAACAAATTTACCTTCATTAAACGACCGAGAGACGTTATAAGGTCAGCCCACTCATTGGAATATTCAAACGACTTCAAGCACTTATCAAGTGCAACAGAATACGATCGATACTTCGCATCGGATTCTAAGTTGACTTTTTTGCTCATCTTATTACCAAATCCACATATACAAATTAGGCTAACAAAAACGCAAAGTGAAAATATGGGTTAGTTTTTCGTGGGAGGACAATATGAATCATCTGCATCATCGTGAATGTGTTAAAATACTTTGTCGCTGACAGTGAATTGCAAAGGTTTAAATGAATGCACATGTAATGTCACTGGTAATATTAATTCAGACATAAATTTGGTGCCTTCGTCCCAAATACCTACTTAAACTGCTAAATTGAAATAGAACCGAATGCGATATTTTCGTAAAATTGCAATTTTGATGTCGATTAGGACAAACAAAGTTCTAATGTAAATTCTGCTTTAAAATGTTCAATGTTATTAGCTTTTACTTCACTTTTCGAGTAATGGCAATCAATGTTTCCTCAGGCAAGCTCTCATTAACACAATATTTGCTATAATTTTGCAAAAAAACTCAAATAAAATGCCTGAGAAAATTCAGCAAGAAATATTTGAGCATTTGTTCAATCATGTTCTTTAATTGTCACTTAATAATTGCTGGCTGCTAGCAGTACATCCTATTCATCGTGTAATATTTTGTCATGAAATGCAACCTTTTTCAATGTCATTTTGGCATTTTGGAGAAAATCGCCCACAAACAGGCAAAGTGTGTCGCTTGGTTCCGTCAGCATAACCAAAGATACATACTGTTATTGTCATTGACGACAGCCTGTTTGAAACAGATCGTCCATCAATTATGACTGTAAGTTTATTAATAGGCGTCTAACTTTAAACCACCATTTTTTGTATAAGTGTCGCAGGATGCAAAACGTAATATGGCCAGTGGTTATTTAATAAATCATAGAATTTTTCTTGAACATGCCCTTTTTTAATGCAACTAATTCATTCATGCAGTTGTAAGAAAATTTAAATTCATAATATACAGTTAAAATCAAATTAGGCATTCAGTCTTCATTTTTATGTCAGAGCATCGCTTTAGGCCTCGATGTTCCGATTTGGAAGATTTAACAATCATTCCGACGGCTTTTTGTCTTAAAAATGTTTAGGGAAAACAAAATATAATATTTTTATTTTTTGTATTTTTATTTTTAGGGCTTTACATTTTATAGCATTTCCAGATACTAGTTCACCTTTGATGATTGTATTAATTAGGTCAGGATGATTATCTGCTAACATTTATCTAACCTGCCAGCAATTTCGGGAGCTGCATTAATGCAGCCATATTTTTCCCTGTCCTAATGATTTTGCGCATACTGGCAAATGAGTTAGTTAACTGAAAAATAAATTTAAGTTCTGTGCAAACCAATAATAAAATCAGGTCATTAGGATTACATGACTAGTGGTTTAAAAGCGTTATTAAATACCGAACCACCTTTCTCGATTGCAATTACTGGTTACCAGAAATTGCTATTTCTACTGCATTTTATTTCTAGAACACCAACATCATCTTAACGCATAGATTATAAATTGGACAATTCTCGATCTCCCACACGGATTTACAAACTTTCTGCGCATCTCGATTCATTAGAAACGACGCCTTTCCATTCACTTCTTTCTTTCGCGACAGAGCCAGTTGTAAAGGTTTTTATTGTCACTAGTCTTAAATAGAAAGACTGGAACTTTTATAAGAAATTTTCACTTGTTTGAGTCCATCCATTCATTCAATCCACTTCTTCCACAAAACGATTTGTTTCATCCAATTCC